AGGAGGTGCAGCTATGGATTGTCTGCCATGTTGGGTGGCACAGAACAAATGGAGATACAGAAACAAACTGGAATTTTCCAAAGATGAGATATCATACTTGGCTATAAAATATTAGAGAATTCTTCACTCAATATCTTCATCTCCTAGCTTGCATTAGTCTGTAATGTCAACTGCAGAATTTATTGAGATTTTTTCTCCATTCTCACCATGTACATTCTTGCCACCCAACATGGCAGACAGTCCATAGCCGCACCCTCCCATTGATTACTTCCATGCAACAGCTCTCAGTATAATGAGTTGGGTATGTACAGCAAGACTTGCCTGAGGGAGTTTATTTCATTATCTTTCTCAAAGAGTTTCCTCTCTGTTTGAGCTGTGGTATTTCTAACTGAAGACAAAGGACAGTGTTCTGCTCTACTTCCAATTGGCCTTTTGTTCTCTTGCAAACATAATCAATATAACCATGGTAACAGTAAACCACACCTACCTCCATCATGAGATTGATTTCTTCAAGTTCTTGTTCAAGTTTCTTTTTAGCTTTCTCAAGGTCGTGGACGCTAGTTCCTCCCTCAGTTAATTATTTTTCAATTTCAGCAAGATCGTCTAAATTAATAAACAAAAACCAAGATGAGACACATACTCAGTGATCATGTACTGCACATAATATGTACATACATGTACATCTTGTACTAATGAATGAGAGAGTTTTATGTACTTTGTAGTTGTTTGTTGTCTTCGGTTGCCGTTCATCTTTGAGATCACTGTTCTCAGATTTGAGTTTCAGTAGCTACAAGTACATGTACACACACAAGAATCAAAATGATGAAAATATCAAGTAAAATTTGAATGTGAAATATCAGGAATATTATATTAAAAAAATAATATGACATACCTCAAAGCTGTACATGCAGGATTCAGATTTGCTTGCATCAAGTTCTTGTTGTGAGCCTTCATATTTTGCTTTCCATTCATTGATCTGCTGGTCAATGGCTTTCTTTTTCTTTTCCCAGGCAGCAGTAGCGTTCCTCTCCTTCTCAAGGTCAAGCATCACATCCCTCAGTTCACCAGCAACATGACTCTCAGTCTTCTCAAGTGAAGAGTACTTAGCTTGAAAG